ACATTTGGGTCGGGGTGTGTGTGTGTGTGTGTGTGTGTGTGTGTGTGAGTGTGTGTGTGTGTGTGCATGCTGCTGCTGGGCGTCCGACCGCGATTCCGCAATGCTACTCATGGTCGGCCCACTTGTAACAGCTTTTGCCTGGATTATTTCATATCCTGCAAAAGATTTGGCAATATCACGTAAGAAAACATTATTTTTTTCTGTAACATCCTAATGTAACGTTATGTTTTGTGTTCATGCCCTTTATAGCCCTGTCTAAACATAGTTCAAATAAATATGTAAAAATAGAGATTAATTAATATTTTCAAATGTTTAATGGGTGTTATACTAAAAATCAGCGAATTAGAGAGTTGATACAGTTGATAGTGGATGCTACAGGCGGATAAACAAATCTTTGTCATTTTCAAATGGTTTATTTCTGTACACATAACTACAGTTTTACCAACGGCTAGCCGACATACTGCAAACTGCAGACGGTATTTAAATACCTAAATACCTATCATCAATATAGTAGTGTGTTAAATTGAGATGCTAATCGCGATCAGCGCAACATATTTCAGTTTATCAGCAGGTAATGTTACTGTGTGTCACTAGTAAGTGTTAATGTTGTCATCTATAGTTTGAACTCGAGTAAAGGATCTTTGGAATGAGTAAAGTAATTGATAAAGCTGTCATGTACACTCGTTAGACAGAGCGGACCTGGAAACACTGCTTGAACTCTTGGAGAAGAGTTGAGAGATTTGGTCCAAACCTGTGATCTATGTGTAGCTGCCTGTCTCGGAGTAATTTTTACATTCACTTTTCCAACACTTATTAGCTTTATTACTTATTAACTTATTGTGATTTATATTTGCAGTATTAAGTATGATATCTTAATTTATGTTCATAATTGATGTCTCAATTATGACTGTACTTTAATGATTTCATCAAGGTACATTTGTAAGCAGGGTTGGGAAGGTTACTTTTAAAAAGTATTCCACTACAGATTACAAAATACATGCTTTAAAAAAGTAATTTGTAACATATTTCCTTAGATTACACAAGTTTTGTAATTTAATCTAAATACTTTAGAATTCTTTGGAATACTAATAAGGTGTGTAAGGCAAAGGGTCCTATAGAGAAACATGACATTGTAAGGGTGGTTTCCCTACAGTGGTTCAGGCTGTGGGATTGCCAAATGACTAAAGAAAGGTTATTAGCACGATGGTATAAAACTGTACATTTCTAGTCTATTACCACCCACTGCCACTTATACCAACGACGGAAATAAGCGCAGTTAGAATAGCTAAATATGTGGGAGAGCGTTGCTATTGAGTGACTATTGTATTGCAATAGGTAGCACTTTAATATTAACCTTGAATCAAGACTAGTTAGCACATAATTAATCATTGAAATTATTTAATAACAATATTTTGTTATGGTTACACTTGAATTGGTTACAAAATAGATGAAGGATGGTAAAGCATAGTTAATTGTACCCAGCATGTATGTAAAATATTACCTGAGAGAGAGAGAGAGAGAGAGAGAGAGGGCAGAGACCCAAGAAGAGAGAGGCAGCAAAGGAAAGAGAAAGAGCAACAGTTGCTATCTTCTTTTATCCCTTCCTTGACCATGTGACTAAAAACCAAATGTGAGACATTCAAACTGACCAATCAGCAGATTACAACTTCACCCACTGTGCAAAAGGTGTGACAATTAGAAGACCCCCGATGTATACACATGTTGGCCTACAGGCCTTGATCGACATCAGCACTTCAGGTCCTTCAGGAATGGCAAATGGCCCTTTTGTTACTGAAGATAGGTTTGGGACAGGAAAGCAAAAGTCTTTGATAATTTTTGACCTTACAGGACCCACATACTCAAAAGAGCAATTTTCCTCTTCCCACACTTACACTTGCAAACGCAAGTTCCCCGCCCCTTCGCGGCGAACTTTCCTTCGCAAAATTAGAACCCCTTGCATCCCGGTTCATGGCTTGGGCAGCCATTCCGGATGTGTCAAGCTGGGTTCTTAGCACAATAAAATGAGGTTGCTCGCTTCAGTTCGCTCGCAGGCCGCCTCGCTTCAGAGGTGTTATTCAGACTTCGGTGCTGTGGTGCTGTGGAAGCGGTACCTCTAGCGAACAACGAGTCAGGCTTTCTCAGCCGCTACTTCCTCGTGCCCAAGAAAGAAGGCGGGCTCAGACCTATTCTAGATCTCAAACATCTGAATCGCTCTCTTATGAGACGGCCGTTCAAGATGTTAACTCTGAAACAGATCCTCGCGCAGATTTGCCCCGAGAACTGGTTTCTGATAGTGGATCTGAAAGATGCATACTTTCACATTCACATAGCCCCCCCGTCACAGACTGTTCTTGAGATTCACGTTTGAGGGAGTGGCCTATCAATATGCAGTCCTACCGTTTGGACTGTCTCTGGCCCCTCGCACTTTTACGAAGTGCATAGATGCTGAGTCAGATGGGAATCCACATTGTGAACTCCCTCGATGATTGGCTGGTTCTGGCCAGATCAGAACGGGAGTTAGTCGCTCACAGGACGCTGTTGCACAGACACCTAGAGCGCCTCGGGTTGAGAATCAACCTGCCCAAGAATCAATTGTCACCCAGACAGCAGGTTGTCTTTCTGGGGATGATCATAGACTCCGCCCAGATGCGGACATGGATTACGCCGGAGCGGTCCCTGACTACAGCGACTGGCGGCATCTTTGAAACCAGGGACTTCCCTCAAGAATTTCCAGAGGCTGCACGGCCTCATGGTGGCCGCCGCCTCTGTGATTCCTCTAGGCCTGCTGCACATGCAGCCTCTTCAGTTTTGGTTCAAAGCCTGCGTCCTGTCCTACGCTTGGAGCCTTGGCCGATTTTATATCAGGGTAACCCACCGCTGTATCAGAGCTGTGGCCCCCTGGACAATTCCCCGCCTGTTCCAATCAGGTGTGCAGTTGGTACTGACCTCCAGGAGGAAGGTAGTGACAACAGACACCTCCAACTTGGGTTGGGGCACTCTGTTAGAGGGCAATCCGGCATCCGGCTTCTGGTCGACCCACGAGCAACCCCTGCATATCAACTGCCTCAAACTGATGGCAGTTTTCTTGGCCCTGAAAACCTTTCTGCCAGCCTTGGAAGGGCACCACGTCCTGGTCCGGTTGGACAACACGACGGTGGTAGCTTATATCAATCGCCAAGGCAGTCTTAGGTCACTCCCCCTTTACAGGATGGCCCGACACCTCCTGTTTTGGGCACAGGACAAACTCCTCTCGCTAAGAGCGGTTCATGTGTCAACTTGGGCGCAGACATGGTGTCCAGAGGCAATGTACTGTAGAATCTCTGATTCTCACAAATTTAGCTGAAACACTACACAGCTCAGATTGATCTGAAGTCTCAGGTACACAAAGGTTAGCTGAAACACACTGCACAGCTTTATCTGAACACTACAGGCAAGGCAACACACACAACACAGAAAACAACAGAGCCAGAAGATGGTAGTGTCTCTCAAAGAAGAAAGCCTCAGTGTCTCTCACTCGACTGATATTCTCTGGGTTCCTCTGTACTCCACTTCATGAGCTGGGATGGGAATCAGGTGGCACTCATGAGCCGGTCAAGCAGGTGTAACAGGTATGGAAAATTATGTGTTTTATATGTGGAATTACACAAAAATGATCAAATGTACACTTTATATGTGTGCATCTTCCCCTTTAAATTTCAGACTGATGTGTTAATGTTAATTTCCTGTCTTTGCTCCTCCTCTTCTTTTTCTGCACCTTCTCTGCATGGGAGAGGAATGTAAACGGGCGAAATCACACAATGTTTTATTCTGACAGATTAAATGAAGAGCGAATCGGCAGTTGATATCCATCTATTTATTTCACCAACAACACAACACAGACAACAGCAGTTAGACAGCAGGAGAAGCAAGAGCAACACAGAAGAACACAAAGCACACACATACAAAAATCAGGATCAGGTTCAATTGTTGAAGCTTTTAATTTTCAGGGTGTTGCTGGCCGTTCCGCTCAATTGGCTTTCCTCTTTCCAACTGTAATTGCGTGTATATATGTTGATGTGTGTATATATATATTGGCTGTGCACTGAAATAAACTTAGATTAAACACACTACAGACACATTTTAGCTTTGTCAGCAGCACTGAGCGGAGATTTATCACTGTATTGGACAATCACCATTAGATTAAACAACAATAGCAAGCAAGGAAAATAATGAGTTATATAATAAATTATTAAATACATGAATAATGATTATATGATTCATTGATTAGCATTGCTCTTAAAATACACACACAGAGGTTGCTATTAAGAATCATTATATCCTGCATCAGCATCTCAGCTTTGTTCACACCCAAATACTACATTTTTGGCTAATTAATTTCAAAATGAGATGGTTTTTATTCTGACTTGTTGATTGTGTGCTGAACCTCAGGAGTTCCTGTATCAAGTTGAATAAAGTTGGGTGTTTCTTCTCTTTTTTTCTCATTCCTGTTGTTTCTGTTTCTCCAGTTCCTCTCGTTCTCTCTTCAGCTCCTCTCGTATCTTTCTCTCTTTGTCATGATTCTGTCTTTCTTCCTCCATCATCTTCTTCATTCCCCTGATCTGTTCTTCATATTGGAACTGAAGTTGTGCTTTCTCTCTCTGTATTTCTATTTCTCGATTAAGTTTCTCATACTTTTTATCATATTCTTCCTGTTGTTTCATTCTCCTTCTTCTGTCCTCCTCTTCATCTCTTTTTTCTCTTTCTTGTCGTTCCCGTTTCTCCCATTTCACTCGTTCTCTTTTCATTTCTGTTTTATATTGCTCTTCCATCTCGTCATATTCCTCTTCTCTTCTCTTTTTCTCTCTGTTACGCTTCTGTCTTTCGGCCTCCATCATTTCCTGTTCTCTCTTTCTCCATTTCTCCTCCTCTTCGTCTCTTCTTTGTCGTTCCTGTTGTTTCTGTTTCTCCCATTCCTCTCGTTCTCTCTTCAGCTCCTCACGTATCTTCATCTCTTGTTCTTCTCTTTCTTTTATCTCTGTTTTATATCGTTCTTCTCTCTCTCTAAATTCTTCTTCTCTTCTTTTTCTCTCTTTGTCATGATTCTGTTGTTCTTCCTCCATCTTCATCTTCATCTTCTTTTTTTCTTCTTCATGTTTGTTCATCAGTTCTTCTTTTTCTCTGTTCACTTGCTCCACCAGGATCTTCATCTGTTGTTTTTGTATTTCTCTCTCCATCTCTCTGAACATCTTACATGAGTAGTAACTCCCTCCGTTTGTTTTCACCATGTTGTCTATCTTCTGCAGTAGATCAGTCACCTGTGTTCGGTCTCCAGTCTCTTTATTATTGAACACATGGAATCTGTTTCCACACGCTTCAATCAGTTCATTTAAAGCAGATCCAGGTTTTCCCAAACACTGTTCAATGGTTTTATCATTCAGATCATCTCCTCTGGTGAAGAGCACCATGGTGTACATTAAAGAGTTTTCACCAAACGTCTCTTGGATGATCTTCACTGCTGTTGCTTCTTCTTGAGTGAATCGTTGTCCTAAATTGAGCACGATGATGAACACATGTGGTCCAGGCAGAATCATTGGGATGCAGTTGCTGATTTCTCTCTGGATTTCTTCATTACTGAGTTCAGTATCAAACAGTCCTGGAGTGTCGATCACAGTGATGTGTCTGCTGCTGATTTCAGCTTTCTCTCTACGACACACTTCAGTAACAGACTCTTGAGATGCTTCAGCTTTAAACATGACTCTTCCTAAGATGGTGTTTCCAGTTGAACTCTTCCCAGCTCCAGTTTTTCCCAGCAGCACAATCCTCAGATCATCTTCTCTGTCTCTTGAATCTAAAGATAGATAAAAAAAACAAAACAAGTTATTGAATTTCAAATGAAGACTGTGTAGACTTCAGCAATCATGAAAAGTGTTTAATCAATGCAGATTTCCTAATCATTACCTTGTGATTGAAACCACGTCTCTAATGAATGGACTCTCTTCTTCATTTCTTCAACTTCCTGCAGTTTCTCCATCTGTGCCTCCATCAGTGTCTCTGTGGAGAAACAAACACCACTATTTTCCTCAATCATCTGCTCCAGTTTCTCCATCAGCTCAGACACTTGTGTGTTCAGGCCGATGAAATGATGTCGTCCTTCAAATCTCTCAATGACAGACTGTGTTTCTTCATTGAGTTCTGCTGTCTGATGCTCTGGATTCTGCTTTATGAGGATCATGATGTGTTTGTTGACTCTTGAGCTGAAGATCCTCTGGATCTCCCCTATTTCTGCTCTGTCTTCATTATTAAGTGGAGCATCAGGAATGATGAGGATGAACACATGAACTCCAGGATGACAGAGAGACACACAGCGGTGAGTCTGACGCATCACGTCCTCCTCTGAGAGCTGAGTGTTGAACAGAGCTGGAAGCTCCAGCAGACTGATCAGACGTCCATCAAGCTCCACGTCTCTCCTCACACACTCGGAGCTCAGCTCGGATCTTCTCTCGCTCTGCTTCAGGATCAGGTTTGATGTGAAGGATTTAAATTCTCTGTTACTCCCACACACAACCAGATTCAGCTTCACACCCTCTGGATCTGTGTCAAAGGAATAAACTAGTTTAACAATGTGATTTAAACTTAAGTTAGATTAATGCTGCATTCACATCATGTCAGAATTACTGTAATCACGACTACTGATTACTGTAATTGACTAGTTTCCCACTAGTAAACAACCTTTCATGTCCTGAACACACTCATGCGGAAACACCAAAGATAAAACTCTCACCCATAGGCGGAGGGTGAGCCAACTCCAGGGTTGTCTTGTATTTATCTAGTTGGATTTTTGTTAGTAAATTTTGCCGCATGTAGATCCTCGCCTCATCTCGTCCTTGTCCCAGGTATAAATTTAATGTCACAATCAACACTTTTCAACTCATTCATTTACTATTAACTTTATTCAAGAGTTGAAATGATTTTATTAGCTTTCTTGTGCATTAGCTTGGGGCTAGGGGTGTGTATTTTTTCAAAAATGCTTTAGAAAACTGAGTCGGGCCGAGTACCAAAACAAACTTGTAGCCAATCAGCAGTAAGGGGCGTGTCTACTCATGATGGGGAGGAGAGAGAGAGCATTCAGTGCACAAAACAGACACTAGCCGAGCCGAGCGACGACAGAAAGATAAAGATGGCAGATAAAAAACAAAAGAGGAAAACGTCTGCGGAACAAAAGAAGGCTTACGATAAGGCAAGAAGTAGGACCCGTGTAAATATCGGATCAGCTTTCCAGCGCTGGAGAGAACTCAAGGAGCGGGAAGGCCTGCGATCGGATGTCGAGGTTGCCGTTGTTGCTTTGTTTCTTCTCGATAGGTCAGTAACATTGGTTTTGCTTTGTTTCACAGAACTAATATATGCTGGCTTGATGACATCATACCCTCAGCCGGCTGGCACAGCAGATTCCACCATAATCGTTGCCTGGGTTGCGTACGTATGTGTGGGGCGGAGCTATCAAAATAGGGGCGAGACCCTTTTGGGGTAGGGGCGTGTTTGTTTTGGTGATTTGAAATATCAACATTGGCTACCAGAAATCACTTGCCCCACCTTTAAAGGTTCTGCAAACTGGCTGTGTTGATGTGCGAGAAATGAGACATGTGATAGCAGCACCTAGTTATGACTGATGAAGTGAACATTATTCAGAAATTTTAAATCATTATTGTGTTATAGAAAGAAGAGCAATAAACACAGAATTCCCTGGGGGCCTATAAAATTAGAAAATTTAAATGCATATTCAGGAGTAAAATGAACTAATATTACAAACACCAACATTTATAAAAGGTTAACATTAGTGCTGTCTGTCAATCAATAAAAAAATAATTATTCACACATTTTTCTGCAATTAATCGTGATTAATTGCATATTAATATATTTATATTGTCATAATTTCACATTGAACCTCCAAATTAATGTAGAAACAACATAAAGGTGGTATATTTTTAATATGTGTTTAATGGCATCTTTTTTACTAAGTAGCCTATTATTAATGAAGACCAGTACCATTGATACCAATAATGCTACTGATGTCTCAATTAAATGCAATTCCCCTCAATTTTAGCCATTCAACATTACAGTATACAGTAATTCAAAACCATTATTTTTGATATTTAAAAGGCTCTGAAAAATATAAATTTTATTTAAGTGAACTTAAAACAATCTTCACATAAACTATAAAGTGTATATGCATAAACTATATAGATTAATTTTTATTCAAGCTACAAAAGTTAATCAGTGAGCAGTGAGTGATTTCTCATTTTCCTTTGTTCTGTGACAGACTTCAGCAGGTTTCACTTTAAAAGCCACACTGTCTCTTTAAAACCTGACGCAAATCTGACACACATCCGGTTTTATCCCAAATCTTTACGGTCATTTATAAGACTGTGTTTACGAGGTTACTCGCTTAAACCATGCATTTTGACATAAATGTGTGTGTGTTTTTGTTCATTGAAGCGCTACTGGCGCGCTGTCTGAAGCAGCATATGCGTACGGGCCGGCCCGGGCCAGTGTTGCCACCTTGTGGACAAACTAATTAGTGCAAAAACAATTCAAGGCGTATGTGCAACCTGCGCGTACTCTTCTCTCGGGCTGCCATTTGAAACATTTTAGACACTGAGCTCTTGAATGTTGTATTATTTCCACACAGCACGATGTTCAGCTTTGCTTTTCCTGTAGTCATCAATGAAACAATATTTAGAGATAGTAGACTCAGTTCAGCTTTGGTACCAAATGTATGCTAAAGCATCTACAAAAATATTATATTTGTAAAATACAATTAGATTGCAGTACTTTATTTTTTTTTAACTGAAGGCTGTCTCTTATACTGCACAGAATCTATTAAAGGAGTCATGAACTGAGAAACCAAAATTCCCTTGATCTTTTGACAGATAAGAGGTCACTGTGCTATAAAAACATCCTGTAAGTTCCAGAACTCAAAACTTTCTTGTAAGTCTAAAAACAGCTTATATTGAAGCCAGTCTGGTTGTGGAATGTGACACTTTATGACATAATAGTGTGTCTAAACCCCGTCTCCATAGAAGATGATCAACACCTGCTTCTACATCACTGCCTGTTTAGCCCCGCCCACTGATTCTACAGCACCACCTGTTTAGCCCCGCCCACCGATTCTACAGCACCACATGTTTAGCTCCGCCCAACAATTCTAGAGCACCACATGTTTAGCTCCGCCCACCGATTCTACAGCACTGCATGTTTAGCTCCGCCCAACAATTCTAGAGCACCACATGTTTAGCTCCGCCCACCGATTCTACAGCACTGCCTGTTTAGCCCCGCCCACCGATTCTTACGGACCTGTTGCTATGACAGCAAGTCCCGGATGAGCTTCGAAGAACTAAATAATCCAAGATCATGCCAAATCGTCAACAATCAAATCCAGCTAACCGAGTTAGCGACGTACGAAGAACGGGCCCCAGGTCTATGTAGAAACCAAACGATAAAGATGCTCAGAAGACAACAAGACGCTGTTCAGTGCCAAGCTGTTCTTTGCCTTCCTTCTCATCCCAACATTAGGAAAGAG